AAGCAGATGAAAATGGGCCCGCCCAGTAGCTAAAGCGCAGGACAAAAGCTTCAGGCGAGACGGAAGTGGCACTCGCACTAAGCGAGATATAGGGTTTGCTATCATATGTGCCCTAAAATAGGAGGAGCTTTTCTAAAAAAAAAACAAGTGGAATAGTAGGAGCTCCGCGCACCACGGGCCACGTTATTCTGACCGGATTTGCAAGCTAAGCTTTGTGAATGTGTGCTTGTGGGCGGTAGTCTGGAAAAAGGGGGGTTGTGCTCCTGGGAGTATTACGCCTGGACTGAAAAATACCACCTATATTATGCTAGCCAATTTTTAAAAAATTATAAGTTGTATTTATTTCAAAATTGACTCACATGTATTATAAAATTTCAGCAAAAGCACAAAGCACCCCAAACAAAATTTTAAAAATACCTCAAGGTCCCTGGACCATCGAGCAACCATTGTCACTGCTGAACGAGCCACCAACACGCCGCTATCACTACTATCATACTAGAGCCAGACTGACCCTTATTAATAGCCGGGAAGTCTTCATGCAAGTGTTCCTAAGGACTAGTGGCCTAGAGTCGTAGTCGCCATCATTAAACCCCTAAATCAATATGAAGAACCTGGCATCAATTTTCACCGTGGTGCGTACACGACGATAACTCATAACCTTGTTGCCCGAGAAACTGGCAGGAATCTACGCCGGAGCTCCGTCTAATCCATCTCGACAGACGAACTTGAGGAAGATCGGAGCCCGAAAGACAGACTTGAAGAAGAAGCATCGTCATCCATCTGAGCACCGCCTCTGCTAGGACTAAAACGCTAACTTATCTACTAGCCGAAGTTGAGGCACCAAGATTTCCATCTCCGCCATCGGCTGCCAGAGCAGCAAGCGAAGGGAATCCACGGCAGGGCCGACAGAGATAGAGGAAAGGTAGGCTTTGCCCTAGTTACCTTGTGAGAGGGGAAAGAAAGATATAGACTAGTCGGAAACGCTTCCCGTCACATTAAGGCCTTATACAATGCTAGATATTTAGGGAGGTGCTTAGATAAACAAACCGAATTTTGCTGAAACACCAATACCTATTTCTACACGAGATTGCCTAATTAAACGTATACCCTCTATAAATAAGCACCGATGCTTAAAAATCACTGATTTATTTTTCTAAACACCTTCCCTAAGCATCTTGCATTGTACAAGGCCTAATCATCTACTCCTAGTAAACATATGCTAGCTCTCCGGCCGGTCCCAGCCAACGAACGACGCATGATGATTCCATGATCATATGTATCGCGACTGATTGATTCGTTACGATGTTGTGCGTGTCATGTATGCGAACAGCCAACCGACGGAGCCAACAAATCATTGCTCTGCTTTCCGTGGATGTGTGCGGTCAGTCGTCGATCGCTCCACCTCTACCTCTCTGCAACCGTACGTGCGAGTAAGAGTAGGAGTAGTATCCCAACAACTAGATGCCCGCGATCGGGCACACGGAACGCGTGACCATCCAGATGCAGGCATGCATCACGGGGATACGTACACTTCAT